CAGTGTAATGGAAAAAAATTAGGCCAGTGTAATGGAAAAAAAAGGGCGCATCAGTACTGCATATTAGCGCATTACGCGGGCGAGTTCAGCCGTTCAAACAATCTGCCGCTCCACAACTTAGCGCAATTTTGGAGAGCGACGGGGCGAACCCACGGAGCGACGGCACCTCAGAGAGAGGCAGCGCCACCTAGAACGCCCGGCGTTTTTCATCGCTATTTTGTGCGCTCCTCAGCTCCCGTCCGTCACAATTCCCCTTCTAGCCACCATAACACCGAGCAGCAAACGATTCATCTGGTTTCCATCTTTTTTGTGCGGCTGTAAACAGAAATATCTGCAAGCAATATTAGCAACATTTTTTTTTTTTCTAATCGACTGTAAAGTATTGTATACTTCAAAACATTTTCGTTCAGTCAACCACAGTTGGTGCTTTTCAAGTAAAGTCATATTTCATTATTTTGTGGGCTTTGCTTAAATGAAACTTCTTATAAATGGAATTAATTTTCTTGCCCCTTCGAGTTTCGTTTAAAGAGGAGTCCACTGTACTTCGAAGGGTAAATATATTGTTGTTTTTTCTGTGTGTATTTTCATTGGTTGCTCACAGTTGTTGTCATACAGTTATGTGTTATTTGTGTGGAGCCATGCATAGATATGTATTGATGTTCTGCGCATGTGAATAAAAGTTCAGTTGAGAGTCGGCGCTTAGGGTTTCCTTTTCTTTGTGTGCATTCATCTTTCCTTGCGGCGCCGTTTCAATAGTGTCAGAATGCGCACAGTCTTCCCTCGATGAATTATGTCACAGAGACTTCGACATCATCTGAGCACGCGTGTGTTGCAGAGTTACCCCAGCAACCATCCATAGCTTCTCACTATAGAAGTGCACTTGTGATCACTGAATCCAAGAGTGAGCCAACACTCAAGGTCAAGACCACATAGCTTCTTCTTTCCGAATAGCCTTTACCACACTCATCAAGATGCGAAGCAATTAGATTTCATAGGGATGCCACTGGATGATAACTGCAACAAGTGCTCTGGGGGGGGGGGGGGCTCTTTAAGAGAAAGACCTGGGCACAGGAGGCGGATGTGGCTGAGTATGTCAGAAATTTAGAAATTCAGAGGCATAAAATGGCTTGGAGATTACTGCCTTCATCTGCGGGGATGCCAACACCCCTGTAAAATTGTTTGCACCTCGAGGCGCATGTGCCTCGCACACAAGCCACACTCCGGGGTCACAGCTATCAAGCTGTAGGTGGCGTTGTGCTCGCGAGCGTTTATCATGTGGTGTACACGTATCCCGAAGGAGTACGGCCACCAGCGAGGGTCCGGTTTTAGCGAGCCGCAGGGCACGCGTTAACCGTCGCCGTGGCGAGAACACAATACTGCTCAAAGTCGCAACACTTTATTGTGGCAACACTAAACGCAGTACAGCCCGTTCCAACAGGCACGGCGGGAAAGCAAATAGGCTTATCCACGCCACGGGCACAAAGTACTACACAGGGTGCCACGAGCACGTCTCCGCGGTAAAGGTGACCCACGGAGACACCGGGACCAAGGCTCGTTTGCTCGAGTGAGGGCAAAGGCGCTCGCGTTGGCTTCGGAGGGAGACGGGTCGGCGTAGCTAGGCCACGCACTAGGACACCGTACCGGCCTTCGGCCGTGAGTACGCAGTGGGGCAACAAAAGTTGAACGTTCGCCTTGGGCGCGAGGCGCCGTCAGCGAAGTCCGTCGAGCCCCGAGCGACGGGAGTCGACGGGCGGAAAAGATTGCGTGGCTCACCGTTTGCTGTCCTGGAGAGTACTGCCTGCCCCTGACGCAGCGCGCGAAAACCTTTCGGGAGGCTCCACGCACGGCGCCACAGTCAACATCCACTACCGGGTGAGGGAGTTAAACGTCACTCCGCCCTTCCCAGCCCGGCAGACAGCAAAAGAAGGCAGACATGTCGGGACATGAGAGCGGCAGAAAAGGCGGGAAAGCCCGCGCAAAGGCAGCGGGCCAGCCTCAATTCCCACAATCACCATCCTCATCATCATGGTTAGAACGGTGGCACCAGCAGTGAAGCATGGCGGCACGGGAGAGATGAGCGAGTTTTTTTGCCGGGTGGCGGTTGGGGCGAACGATTGACTCTAGCAGTGGGTTTGCGGTGGACGGCACCGCGGGTCATCTGCCGTGGGTCGTCGTGGTGAGTCAGGCGTTCGCGAAGCTGCTTTGTGTGTGTTCTTGTGTTTGTTATGTTTTTGAGTGTTTTGTAATATTTTGTAAGGTTGTCTTAGCGAATTGATCACAACTGGTGTTATAATAATTCGGCTGACGATGTCGTTCTAAAAGTAGTTAAATAAATGAGTGTTGTTCTGGTTCGGTTCGACTGCATTTACTGTGTCCGTTTACTCCCAGAGCGTGACGCTCTCCACAGCGAGACCCCTCACTGGTGCAGAACGTGGAGCTCTTGGAGCATGGACGTCAGTTTTTGCGATTCAGAGCAGCCATTTTTTTGAACCGGCATGGATTAGATTTAGGGAGACTTCCATTGCTAGCATCGGCGGTGTGCTTTGTTGAGAGCGAGGAGATCGGTTCTCGGGACGTGTTTGAACTGCTCAGCACGTTGACTTTTTTTTTCTGCTCGCAAGTATTTTTTTTTTTTGGTCAGTTTTCAAGAACGTTTTTTAGTTAGGACGACAGTCATGTGGTCTGCATCTTGAGGATAGCAAAGCTTAAAGCAGTGGTTCTCAGCCATGGATGTGTTGGGGACCCCTTGTGGACTGGTGAAAATGATGGGGGACACCTTGCAGCGGAGCTAAGGAAGAGAGAGTACGTAGGTAAATTGACACAACTGAAGCGTGAAACAGGTGCCTTTTATTGCTACCAAACACATCAAACAAACGCGCCCCATCAATTCATTTCGGACAGTTGCGCGGACAGAGTTTAAGAGCAACTTAAAAAAAAACGAGAGCTGGTTTCGCGAATCATCAAAATGGCTTCACGGACCCCTTACGTTCCGCGGACCCACATTTGACAAACACTGACTTAGAGCATGTAGACTGTAGGCCAAGCCCGAAGCGAGTGAGTACAGAAGAATCGTGGGTGGTCCAATTTTATGTAAATAGCTTCTTCTATCTCTTTGGGCTCAGGGAGTCGGGCGTCGTTGCTGTCTAGTCTTGTGGCTCGACGCCGGGGTGTCGTGAACTGTCCGGGACGATGTGCGTCGATCACTTAGTAAGTTGCTGTGTGAGGCGAGCGAGTAGGGCCACCTTGCAGAGTGGATGTTTCCTTGCAGCTGCCTTTTCTGCACCTAGGCTGGGTACTGGGTGGATGCCCGTTCGGTCAAGCAACCCCTTAGGCCTAAGGCTCTGCGCAGCGGCCTGTCACATGTGGCACAACTAGGTGGATCGTGGCGTTGAAGTGTTGCGCTCTGCTTCTCTCACATTTTCTTTTTTTATCTTGCGATGCTCGAGTTAGGAAAAGCGATCTTGATTTTATTTTTGTTAGGCATCTTGACCGCTGCCGATGTATTTGCCAGCAGTACTGACTATCATACCACATGGGCGAGAAGCCCGAAGCTCCCTTCCCTTTGCTCCAATGGATTGTCTGTCAAGTGTTTCGAGTATACGCAGCGGGAGTGATGTAACCCGTGGTTGGCTGTCTCTTGGAAATCTGTCCTGGCCGTTGGCCAGGAATGGGGTCGTGAGATCGGGCGATAGACATGCCTGGGACCTGCCCAACTGCCTCCTGTCTGGCGCCCTCGTGAGTGCTGGTCGCAACTAGAAAACGTGTCGGCGCGATTGACGGTTGCTCGAGTTGACAGCAATGTTGCCGCTGAGGGACCAGTACTGGGTGAAGTGGTCGAGCCGGACAGCGCAGCAGTGTCGACCGACGGCGGTGTCACGGTGCACGGACATTCTTTGGAAAAATGTGTTGTCATGTTTTGTTACAGCTTGTAGCAGATTTCTTTGTTCTTTTCGCGAGAAGATTTGAATTAGGGTTGGGAGAATGCGAGAAGGGCTAACACCCTCTGCAAAGTTGTTTGCGGCTCGGAGCGCATGTGTTTCACGCATAGGCTGCATTCAGGATTCACAGCTATCGAGCAGTAGGTGGCATTGTGCTCACAAGCGTTTATCACCATCATCATCATCATGGTTAGAACGGTGGCGCCGGCAGTGACGCCTAGCGGCAAGCCATGGTGGCAGCACAGGAGAAGTGAACGGGTGTTTTTGGCAAGTGGCGGTTCGCCCGAACGGTTGTCTTTAGCAATGGGTCTGCGATGGACGGCACTGCGGATCGTCTGCCATGGGCCCTCATGGTGAGTCAGTCAGGTGTTGGCAAAGTCGCCTTGTGTTTGTTGTGTTTTTGAGTGTTGTGTAATATTCTGTAAGGTTGTCTTAGTGTGTTGATCACAAATGATGTTATAATAATTCGGCTGGCGACATCGTCGTTCTAAAAGCAGTTAAACAAACGATTGTTCTTTTGGTTCGGATTGAGCAGGTCTACTGTGTCCGTTTATTCCAAGAGCATGATGCTCTCCACGGCGACACCTCACACATCCTCCAATACTGCTCAAGCAGTAATGAATTCATCGATGTCCACTGCGTTTGCACAGAAAAAACACGTTTGGTTGGATTAAAAGTGAACTCATCCAAAAGTTTGTTTTTAACATATATTATATGAAAGATTTTACGTCCTAAAACAAAAATATGAGTATGAGAAAAGCCGTAATCAAGGTCTCCAGAAATTTGGACGTGGCTGGTGTTCTTTAATGAGCACTGACATTGCACCTTACACAGGCCTCTACCGTTTCGCCTCCAGCGAAATGAAATTGCCGAGGCTAGGTTTGAACCCACGACCTTCGGGTCAGCAGCCGCGTACCCTAGCCACTGATCTACTCGTTTTTATTTTTTAGCCCTTCCACAGCATGGCAGCTGTTTGTCCAGAACTTCTTCCACTGCTGTCTATGATGTCTGAATAAAAGTGAGTTGAAGCAGCAAGCAGTAAGCTGTCTGTGATATGCTCACCTGTGATCTCTCCAAAACGGTGTCAAGACAGTCATAGTATGTGAGGTCGTTGACTGGTTCATTTGGCTGATCCAACATAGGGCGCATCATCTGCACAATAGAAAGGACAGTGTATCTACAGATATAAAACAGCTGACATAAAGCTTGCCGTGGAGGCCAGCGCATGAAAATTTCAACAACTCTAATGGTTGGAATGTTGAGATGTATTCATTGAGCTTGAAGGGGATTAAGGGGAGACACGAGTCTTAGAAGGCAAAAAAATTCACTTTTTGAAGCTGACATTTTTGGAATCCATACATAATTTTGCACTTATCTGAGAAGTTTCTAACTTCCTATATCACTATTTTTGGCACAAGATCAATTATCAACACCCACATGAGATGGATGTGAGGGCAAATAAATGCTAACATCTCGCTTTTTTCACGCCGCAACATTGCCATTACACACGAGCTATCGTGGCCATCTCGGTCTTGTTTGAAAAAGTCGTTCTTCAGAAAGAGTGCTTCGTCCTGTCTTTTTCTTTCTACAGTACTATTACATACAGACCAGATGAAATTTCGTTCAAATATGGACTTAAATCGTTCTTTATCTTCAATTTCTAGCCACCGCTGGCTCCCCATGTTTATTGGTTTGTCAGCGAAACGTGTCGAGAAGTACCAGCGCGCGATTCTATAAGTGCTTGGGGCACGTTACAAAATCTAAATATCGGATTGGCCAAGTGGCGTCATGGGCATGGGCATGTGCCCATTCCAGCACAGGCATGTGCCATTTTGTCGTGGTGCTGTGGACGGCCTGCTGCAGTAACGAAGTTTCGCACTGAACAAATTTGTAAAGCGGGTGTGGTGATCGCTGGCCAAGAACTTGACAAAGAGCCCCGCTATGGCTCAGGACACTGAGGATTATGAACTCGTGGCGGTCAACGGAGCAGTCGCCAGGGTAGGCATGACTGACGCTGGAGCTAAAAACCCTCCGGTTGCCAACAACATCGCTGAAAGCAGCAGTGTTTCACAGCCTCAACAGTTAGAAGATGGCAAGTAAAAAACAGAAGTGAAGCTACAAGAGATACTGTATTTATTCACGTAATGGTCGCACTTTTTCCTTGAAAAGTCGGAGCACAGTTGAGTGCGTTTATTGCGTGGTAAATTTTACAAAAACTTTTTCAAGAGGAGCGAAAATTGTGGTAATAGAAAAAATACTTAGATCCCTTAGCCTTTCGTAATTGACATATGCATACACTGTTTGGAAACAGCTTGATTGATTGATTTGTGGGGTTTAACGTCCCAAAACCACCATATGATTATGAGAGACGCCGTAGTGGAGGGCTTCGGAAATTTCGACCACCTGGGGTTCTTTAACGTGCACCCAAATCTGAGCACACGGGCCTACAACATTTCCGCCTCCATCGGAAATGCAGCCGCCGCAGCCGGGAATCGAACCCGCGACCTGCGGGTCAGCAGCCGAGTACCTTAGCCACTAGACCACCGCGGCGGGGCGTTTGGAAACAGCTTCTTTGTTGCACTTCACTCATCTTCAGTAGTTGATAGCGCTATCTTCTGCAAGCTGTCCCCGGGCCACCCGCATACGCCATAAAAGCGTTTTGCGGCTATTTTCTCTCGCAATCGTTTAACCGATATATCTACTGTGATCTTAGAGGCGCCCAATCGCATGTGCTACGACACACTTTGCCAACTTTGCAGCAACCTCACACGACGACCGTGACGTCTATACACTGGCACCGTTCATGAACCTCGCTATGGTGCACAGATAAGACGAGAAACGTGCCTCGCACACATAGAAAAAAAAAACAATACAGCACACAGCAATAAACGAGAGGGGGGGACAAGCCAAAATGGACGAGGGGAGGTTGGAAAAATAATAAAAAATGGAAGAGATCCCACGGGTGAGGAGACGCCAGGTGTCGGTTATTGAAACTGCAGTAGATGAATATAGAAAGTGCGTTTAATACCGAGGGGGAAAAAATCCTAATTTTAATGACTGAAGTTGGGGGTGCGTTTATTATGCGGGGGAAAAAAATCCAAATTTTGATGACTGAAAGGGCCCTGCAACACTTTTCGAGCATGGTCAAAAAATGCTGCCGATCAGTAGTAGAGTCTTCCGACAACACGCAAGCCAAATATTATAGCCCAGCATACGGCTTAGAATTCACAATAAATGATCAAAGTCAGCTAAAACTTGCTTTCTCTTCTCTCGACAAATGGCAGAATATGCACAAAAATCACACATGAATCACCCATCTATCAGCCATTGGCTGATTTGAACATGGCGGACTTGCTCGTTACAGAGATCGCCGCAAGAGGCCGCGACTTGTCCACGCGTGCGCGCCCGATAACACCAAAAAAGCGGCGCATTTGAAGCAAAAAAAAGAAACAAAGTCCGCGAGGCGCATCTGACGTTTTTCTGTGGCCCTGCCAACTCTCCCTGCTTATCTATCAGCGCTTTCGTCGGGACAAGAGAAGAGAAAATGCAATTGCAGCATGCGACAAACCTTTGTAATTCCACTCGCACTGGACGGATTCTTATCATTTTTGCGGCGTTGAATTCGTGAGGCGATACGATTTTCCAGTGAATTCGTTCCGTGGTTACTTGAAAAAGCGTTTCAGGGCCCCTTGAAGTTAGAGGTGCGTTTATTACACGAGCACGTTCATTATGCTAGTAAATACAGTATTATACTTTGTAGTGACAAAACGAAAGCGCAATCTCATCGCAAAAGGCTCCCAATGTCGTTGTTCTCCCCATCTGACGAAACGACCTCATCTGTGTGTGAAATTCATGACAGGTCATCAGCGTGGAGTGCACCGCATGTCGACAAGCAAAAGAAAATCCATCCAGTCATGATGGATGTGCTCGCCGCCAGTGCAATGAAGGCTACTGGCAACGACATGTTCGCAATAATGCACATATCAAAACGCAGTCTTGATTCTGAAATGTGCCAGTCTTACGTGAAGAGGAAACTAACACCTCTTGCAGCCTCAAAACTGATGAGCGACTGCACGAGTTTGGTTTTCGACATCCCCGTGTAACTCAATCTGGTTTGATTAGTGGTGTTTATTGGCGCAAGGGCCAGATATGGCCAAAGAGCGCCAGGGCGATGATAATGAATTGTGGGATGTGCAGTGTAGATAAAACAAATGTGACGTGGCTGTAAATGGGCCAAAAAACAGTCGCTGTAGGTGTGTAAAAATATACATATGGTAAAATTATGGCAATGACAAATGATGTGAGCTATGGAGACATAAAATGATTTAAAAGTGATAAGTATGTCAAATAAAAAATTGGCATGGAGCACCAGTGCCTCGACAGAGCCCTTAAAACAAGAGCATGGAGGCCTGGGCTCATTGAAATCTGCTATCACAGCAGCATCCTCTCAACAGAGGATGCGCTATGAACCTGTTGGGCTAAAAACATTCAATGTTGGGCTAAAAACATTCAGTACTAAATCCTTTAAAAAGCTTAAAACTGATTTTGTATCAAAAAGCGGCTCTTGACCGAGAAACATAATCGGATGTAAAGGAAGATTATAGCGGTATGCTAAAGCAAAATATTTCTTTCTCTCCCTTTCAGCTTCCGCACACTCCAGGAGGACGTGGAGGACGGTTAGCCTGTCACCACATCTACCACAAATAGGAGGTTCATCGCCAGTCAGAAAAAAGTTATGAGTACCATAAGTGTGTCCTATTCTGAGGCGACAGAATAGGACATCAGTTCGCCGTGTTCTTGTAGCGGAGGGCCAGTAACCCAACCGCGGCTTAATCAAATGAAGCTTATTATTTATTTCTGTGTCCCACAAGCGTTGCCAGTGGTTTCGCAGTTTCTTTCGTAGAAAGGGTTTTAGATCTGTTGCAGGGACAGTAGCGGTGGGGTTAATAGCGCGCATTATAATTGACGTGGCCATTTGGTCAGCTAACACATTGCCCTCGATACTTCTATGGCCAGGTACCCAGCAAATAGTAACATGCTGGTTGGACATATACGCTGTACACAGAACGAAATATAGCTCAATTATTATTGGATTTCCGAATCTGAAAAGGGATCTTAATGCATTTACGACGCTTAACGAGTCTGTGAATATAATTGATTTTTGTATGTTTGATTTCCGTATATGCTTCACAGCGGACAATAGTGCATAACCCTCAGCCGTAAATATACTTGTTTCCGGGTGCAGCACGCCGGATTCCGAGAAGGATGGTCCGACGGCTGCATAAGCCACCCCTGCATGCGACTTAGAAGCGTCAATATAAAACTCTACGCATGAGTAGTTGGACTGGAGTTCTCGGAAATGCATTTTAATATGTGCTTCTGGTGCGTGTTTAGTGATCTCAACAAATGAGGTGTCACAGTGTATAAGCTGCCACTGCCACGGCGGTAAAAGTATCGCTGTGGGCGTAGGACAGAGTTCCAGCAGCAGAACACCCATTTCCTCACATAAGTTTCTCACACGCAAGGAGAACGGCTTTCTCACTGTGGGTCGATTATGGAAGAGGGTGGCAGCGGTCATATCGTTTATAGTTGAATAAGATGGATGCTTGATGTTTGCACGTACCTTTATAAAATATGTGAAACTGCTATAGGATCGCTGCAGGTGAAGTGACCACTGATTCGACTCTACATAGAGGCTCTGGATCGGGCTTGTCCTGAAAGCACCGGTTGCAAGTCGGATACCCAGATGGTGAACGGGGTCTAGGATTTTTAATGCACTTGGCGTTGCCAAATGATAAATTATAGAGGCATAATCAAGGCGCGACCCGACAAAGCTTTTGTATAACTTCAAGAGGCACTTTCGATCACTACCCCATGTTGTACGTGACAGGAGTTTTAGGACGTTCATCGCTTTCAAACATTTCATTTTGACATATTTAATATGGGGAATAAACTTAAGCTTAGAATCTAAAGTGGTTCCCAGGAATTTATGCTCGCTGCTTACAGAGAGTTGGTCTCCCTTGATCGCAACATTTGGTTGTGGCATTACCCCTCGTTTGTTGGAGAAAAGTATGCAAGTACTTTTCTTCGTGTTTATTTTAAAACCGTTTTCATCCGCCCATTTAGAGAATTTATTCATTCCAAGCTGCACT